TATCTAAAGGTCAAAGTGTGTAATACTTAATGTCATTTAAAATATGACATTGCATTTTGAAAAACCTAAACAACCTTTCCTGCATAAACATCCTAGAATAAAAGCTAAACTAAAGATCTGTCTATTTGGGGCTCTTTTTCCACAAATTAGGAAAGCTTCTGTTAGTTTCAAACAGGAGAATCGCTTTAAAGAAAGTTAATAGAGATGCACAATTCTGGGATATAGTTGGGGTTTCTTCTAGAATGCATTTAATAGAGTTTTTTGGAATTGTTCTTCTGCAATGAATCTCCCAATTTTCTCAATGTGGTGCAATCATGTCAGAGGAGGAGAAGTTTAATAAAGGTTGTAAATTTAGTTTAGAAAAAAGCAAGATCAGATGGAGAACCATGGATGGAATACTTTAGTGTCCTTCCCATAAGAAAACAAAAGAGAGGCTCACATGAGGTACTAAGCTGTAAAATACTCCAGTGACCAGTACCCTCTCCTGATTTATCCTATAACAGAAGCAATCTAATGCTTCTCCTCTGATTTGTCATGTTCCCTGTGACCTACCTGTGAACATTAATTTGAAGATGGTGTCAGACTGCCATTTTGAACCACCATGGGATGATGGGGGAGCATGTACTGTATGTCGCTACACCTGCAAGCACATAAATTTTTGACGTCAGCTGCAGATAAGCATCAAGGCCATTTGATAGACTGGAAGCAGCACTGGTTCCCTCCACAGATGCCTACCCACACAGAGAAACGACAAACTGGAGCAGCATTTTAAACATGAATCATCATTCAGGCATATTGTTGTGCAGAAAAACATCTGCAGCAACCAGTTATCTAGTGATGCGTTGTTTTCATACATGTAAAGAAAAAAAATGTAAAGAAATTAAAGTTATACAGTTTGAAGGCATTTTCTTTGGATGGGTTGGTTGGAAGCCTAATGAGGCAGGTAAAGCTGTACTAAGGGGTTGCTCATTGTTTACATATGATCGTAGCAATGCATATCAGGGTTTGATTTCTAATCTGGATTTTCATTTATTAAGACATTAACACTATCCAAACCAATCTGGCCCTATAGTGATGAATACTTGCTTGCCAAGCCTTATACAGTAACTAGTTGTCTAACCTTTGGTAACAACAGCTTATATCTATTATCTATTTACCATAATTGCTTTGCTTTGATGACAGGAATTTTGCCTCTTTAGTAAGAACTGGTTCTCTTGTCTTAGCCCACTAAAAAGGTCAGTTCTTTCAGCTTCCAAGCAGTTCTTCAAGTTCCATTGTCTCTAAAGTTTAAGCATAATAAGATAGAATTATGATGCAGATGTATCAGTACGTTTATGTGTTGAATTTTCTTTTAACTTCAATTAGTGGCAATATAAAGAACCATAAATGTGTGAATCTATTGTTCCATTCCCTTTTAGTAATAATTAGCAATTCAACTTAAACTTTAAACAGAAATATGCCATGTTTAAGGGTATCTCACTGCATCTTTGTTTGGGTTAAATCCAGGGTTTTCCTAAGCCTCTACAAAATATTTATTTTGAATTCATAAATTCAGAATTTGACTGGTTTACTTTGCTGGAATTTGTTCTTAAGCTTAAAGTCATTAAGCTCTTTCAGTTTTTCTAGCAGAGAGCAGAATTAATTCTTCAAGATCTCCAGCATCTATCATGATGCTTAAATACTTTTAAGTGTTTCTGTACTTGTGCAGCAAACTAAAGTTAATTTGTGCTAAAGTCCATTTGTACAATGGTTTACTGTGGTTTACTGGAGTCCAAGCCTTGCCCATGGCTCATTGTTGTCAAAGGCTTTGTGCTTTTAATGTGCAATTTTGAATTCCTTAAATTAGACTGACCAATTTTAGATAAAGTAGCATACTTCCTGTTATCATTCGGACATTAAGAAGGTGATATGATGATTTGCAGGTGTGAGAGCAATCAGACCATATGGTAAATTTGCTGATAAAATCATACACGTCTTTCCAAAAAATGCTGTTAATCGCAGCTACAATTTAGTTTTTTATAAAAGGGGTAATTACTTTCGCACAATGGGGCCAGGTTTGTTTTGACATTGTTTTCTCCTTTATTAAATATAATCAAAATTGGCAGAGAGGATTTGGCAAGGTGTTCATGGGCGCAAGCCAGGAACTCAACTCTGCTAATCAACCCGCAAGTGCATTCTCCATATATTTGTGGCACCATGTCAGCATTTTTTGTTTTGTTTTTTGTTTTTAAGATTATATGACATAACAACAGTTAAAAGGCTGATGTTCAGCTTAAATATATCACAGGTGTGGGGTGTGGACCACCTCTTAGATGGTCTTTCTTGTTGAATGCACGTAGAAAGTATATTTCCCTTCTGTAGTACCAAAGCAATCTAATATTAGGATGTCCATCAAAATAAAAATGTATGCACCTCTTAGGGAAAAATGTATTTGTTTAATCTTTCCAGGTTATGTAAACCAACAACCATTTTACCATAAAGACTGTGTGCAATAATGGAAGAAAGACAGCGAGTATGAGAAATGTGTGTCTGTGTGTGAGCATGATATTCCAACATCAGTGTTTCCTTGGTAACTAATCCTATTTACTGAGGATTGGATCCATTATTTTGGTTCTCAGTCTCAACGGTGAGTAGTTGTTATCACCCTGTGTCAGGGACAGAGACTCATAGCAGGTAAATATTGAATATCTGGTGTTTTCCCAACACCACTTCTCAGTAATTAATTCACTAAAGGTAATCTATTTAGGGAACACAGACTGCCATGAAAACCTGGATTTAACACAGAATGTCTTGTGTCCATTTACCTTTTTGTTTGATAGTTGGCAAAGATACTACACTAAGGTTGCATCTTTTCCATGGATTGAAATAGTTGTTTTCTGATCTTTCAACTCCTCCACTCTTATAAAAGACAACATTTATGCTGTAAATAAACTAAAGAAAAATCAAAAGAATTGCTACAGACTGGCACAAAAGCTGAAGATGATGTTTGCCGCAGACCTGACACATACAGACAGGCTGAATAAAACCGCTCCACAAATTACAACCTCCTCATTTCGCACTCAATGAAAGGACACAACAAAAAATGTATTGAAACGGGAAATCTTTCGAACTGGCGGCTGCTGTGTTTGGTTTCTCACAAAGCAAAGATATCTGCCATGACATTCACATATTGTTGCTCGATCTTGTGTTATGCTCAGTCACTCAGTAAGAATATTTCAACATTGCAAAAATGCTGTTGCATGGGTAAACAGTTGACTGCTCGATGACCTCGTGTGTCACTTTACATTATTTACAGAAACTAAAGTGGATCTTTAACAACAGCCTGTTTCAGCAAGAGTGCATCTAACTTAATTTAGATTCAGGCAAAATACTCACCATGTGTCATGAAGTCACAGGCTGTTTTATGCTACACAGATGAAATTTAAAGAATCATTAGAATAGAGTCTGGAGGCATAGCTATAGCCTAGATTATTAATTAACATTTCTCAACAACTGTTGCTTCCTCTCTAAAGGTTGTGGACAAGTGACAGAAAGTACATTCTTATGATGGAGACTGGGTTAGCCTAGGATGCTTTTTATTTTTTATGCTCATTTTGTATGCTGTCCTTTAACAGGTAAAGTTAAATGTTGTTTTTAAAGGTTTTTCAGCAGGAAAACTCTAGAATTTGAAAATTTTTCCAGGTTTCACTAAATAAAAAAAAGAATATCAAAAAAGCTTTTCTTTAGTGTTTCATTTCCTATTTGATGGTTCAAAAGATTCATCCATCCATCCATCCATCCATCCATCCATCCATCCATCCATCCATCCCTCCATCCCTGGTTCTGCTGGAGGTTTCCTCCTGTTAAGAAGGAGTTTTTCTCTCCACCGTCGCTACAAGCATGCTTACTGTGAGGGATTGCCTTCGTGCCAATGAGTCGATGCAATTAGCTGGTTTTCCTTAGATAGAAAACTTTGAACCAAACTGACTGTATGATCTGGTTGAATTATCTCTGTAAAGTGCCTTGAAATTACATGTTGTTGTGATTAACTGAATTGAAATTGAATTGAATCCCTCCATCTGCAGTCCATTTTTTTTTTTGGAGATTCCATCGTTCAGTAGACATATTTGGAATATTAAGAAGAAGAATTGTGACCATAAACTTTAAATTGGGACTTTATGAAATTATAAGATTGAATCAGGTTCCAACCATTTTTTAAAGACCCTAACCTCCTCATGATAGTAGTGTAAGGTTAACTCTTTGGTTTATCCAGCCTGCCACAGTTCTGGTTATTGTTCTAACTAATAATGTAAACATTCCAACTAGTAATTTGTTCAACCTTTTTCCTGATTGACAAAGTTCCTTACATTTGTTTCTCTAAATCATCACTGCAATTTATTTTGTGTTTCCTACACTGGACAGAACTAGGTGTGTGTTTCATTTAACAGAAATACATTAGCTTTAGTGAAGATATGTTTTCTTCTTAACTTATTTAATATTAAACGTTAAAAGTCCAAAACTTCCAATATCTCTTGTGTCTGCAGAAACCACTTTTTAACATAAAGTTGGGAATTTCCACCAATTTTTTAATCTGCCACTTTAACACTGGTGAATTTGTTGCTGTTCCAGGATTTAACATTGAATTTCTAGAATGAGTCTAAATTTTATTAAAAAACCTACATGTGTGTGTTTCCCCTAGGAACTTAAAAACAGATAACACTTTTAGCAGGTTTTACCACACCGAAGTTTGACAAGTCTAAAAGAGTCAATTTGTGCAACTGCCATTAAAAATACCCTGAAAAAGCAATGGTTTGATTGAATAATAATAAATAATAATAAACATTTTATTACTACTAAATTCATTTGGCACATACTTGGCCATTTTATTCTAAGATTTATGCCTTGTTCTGTTCTGAATTAAATCCTTTGGCGTATTTTTCTCAGGAGCAGAATAAGCCGGAGCTGTCCTGTCCAGCCACTAAAGTTCTTCCCTTCCGTTCCTTCCTTACTCTGTGTCCCAGGAGGGCAACCGGAGGAGAATGACTGGTAAAACCCAGACCAGCAACGTGACCAATAAGAATGATCCACGTTCCCTCAACTCCAGAGTTTTCATCGGGAACCTCAACACAGCCATCGTTAAGAAGACCGACATAGAGGTCATCTTCGCCAAGTACGGCAAGATAGTGGGTTGCTCTGTGCATAAAGGTTATGCATTTGTACAGTACTTGAATGAAAGGAACGCCCGGGCAGCTGTTGCAGGAGAAAACGCTCGCATCATTGCAGGACAACCTCTAGGTGAGTTATCTTCATTTCTAACTCTTGCATTGCAGTATTAAGTTGGAACTTATGAATGAGTGGAAGGATACAGCCATTTCTGCACTTTCCCCTTGAAAGAGAAAAAAACTTCAACCATGCCAGGAACAGGACTGTCTCCTTAGGGAGCACAGAATGCCTTAGGCTTTTTTCAGACTTTCAGTTTGAACATCGCTCCTCTCTGAAGTACTGAACTGCCGAACTGTCTGTGTTTGTTGTCAAGCTGTTTTGGAGAAAACTGCTCTCTGAAAGTGTAAATGATCCACTCGTGGGACTTGATTTTACCATTTACCAAGCACCAACATGCTAACAGCACGTCAAAGCTCTCATACCAAACAATTTAGAGCACAACATGATATGTTAAGTGGTCTGGGACATTGCTGCAGTTTGCTTTTCAAGCATTTCCTTTTCTTTTGCAGACAGACATTGCAGTTGATCATTTCAGTGGATCATTTTGAAATTGGTTTGCTTGATTTTCTAATGTAGATTATTTGTTCTTGGTCTTGTTTGATAATGTAGATTATATGATTTAAAAGAGTTAAAGAAAATGTGCGTAGGACTAACCAATCGTGGTTGTTCCGGTGTGTTCAGATTTCCACCTCAGAGGTTGACAGGTTTTTTTTTTTTTGGTTTTTTTTGCTGTGAAATTAATCAAAAAAACAGCCAAACATATTGTTTGACTTCACTGATTTCTAGAAACAGACCTCCACATACTGTTCTTAACCCTTGGTAGGTGATCTATTTCCATAAATTACTGCATTGGTTTAATTCAGAGTTCATGGTGGCTGTTAGACTTTTTCCTTCCACTCCCGCAAAGTTTGTTGTCTGTTGGTATGCTTGAATGTACCTATCTGTTAACAGCCATTCTTTTGCTTTTATCCCTTAAAATTTAAATTCTGGCTCATATTGGGGTTTTCAAAGCAATGAACAATAAAAATAAGATTAAAGAAAATGCCTTGACGAATGTGATAACATTTGTAATGATTTTATAGTCATTACAAATATTATGATTTAATCTTTTGAATAAAAAGGCAGAAATAATTTCACTTTCAGTTACTATCTCATTTTAAATTAAGCTTTATTTAACCTTATCTGACTTCATAAACACTGACTTTAATATTGGGATCCTTTTAACAAAAGTAAACATTAGACCAGGCAGCATACTGCATAAAGTTCGAAAGGGTATAGTTGGGGAATATAAGGGCAGGTATACACTGCGATATTTCTTTTGTTGCTCAAGCCTCAATTTAAATTTTGAGGATCAATCGCAGAGTTTAAAAGTTTCCAGCTTGTGATGCATGTCCTCACAGTGTATGAAGCAACGCTCAGATTGGACTTGAGTACTCACACTGTACATACTTAAAGACAGGTTGGGGTTTTAAACAATACCAACATGCAACGCAGTAAATAGAGGTATCTATTAACAGAAGAAGAAGAAAAAATGCCAGTTTTATTTTCAAGCATGCACAATCTGAAAATCTCAGAGGAAAGTGTTCTCAGTCTAGTTGTATCACCACTTCAACATGTAATTCACTCAAGAGCCATGAACAAAATATCAAACAGGTTTGATTTTCTTGAGGCCAACAGTTTCTTATCAGAAGCTTCACGAGGTGCCAGTCACCCCTTGTGAACCCCATGTATACCGCACGACGCACGACACATCATTTGGCCAAGAGTCGAGCCGATCCCCAAACTGGTCTAACAACTGGAAAATCTTGTCAAAAACCACTAAAACTCTCACAGTGTATGCCGGGTTTAAGGGAATCAGTGATGGACACACTGGGGCAGACAAAACACAGTTGTAAGTTTAAAATTTCACTTACCTGGCATGTAAGTACCTTTTTATGACTGTGGCTAATAGGCAAATAAATCTGAAGTTCTGCCTGATAAAAAGTATTATTCATATCATACAATGGGCAAATTAAAAGGGGCTGTTGAATGAATATTCTGGTGAAGATTCTCAGTCATCAAGGTCCTAGTCATTCCAAAAAGGTTAAAAAACAATCCACTGGTCTTTGTTTGAAGAGGTTTGAAGAGGTAAAGCTTCCCTTCCAGGAAAATTTTTCAATTCAATAATGGAGAATCGTTCAATAAGAAATGTAGACCTACTGAAGAGATTTTCCATGTACCATACATTTAAATAAGCAATAGTTAAATAAAATAAAGAAATCTAAAAAAAACTCAGTTCGGAAATTCATATGCTCAGAAAATTGATGCCTTTGTAAAGCCGGGCGTACACTGTATGATTTTTTTCAATCGCTGCACGCAGCTACTGCTCACACTGTACGACGAACCCACAGAGTTTCGTCGTACAGTGTGAGTTCACAGCTTAGGATCTATGTTCGGTCCGACGCTCTGATGCGATCTACCTGCTCACAGAACATCTAAAAACCATGTCGGACTCAGCTCCGCAGTGAGATGGAGCTTCTCTTATTTGTCTATCCAGAAGACAAACAAATAGAAGGGGAATTTTAAGCTCACTAGAGTGTAAGATTAAGATATTAGGTATTCCTTAATTGTCAAGAAAACAAAAAGGTTGGGTTTTTTCAACTTTGGTCACTCATGATATGGGGCTTGGATTGGGAGTTTCGCACTCCGGAGATGTATGTGTCTCGAAAGGACAGCAGCAGCTAGTTCTGGTTAAAGTGCCCTGCTATCAGGGTAAGGAACTAATATTGTATGTGGCTAAAGAAAAAGAAGGAATCTTATGGCAAGGAGCAGACACAATGTGTTTCCCAGATTACAATCGGCAAACCTAGCAGATTTTGGATGAACAAGTAAAGTCATATCTAAAAATAAGAGGAGTGGGATGCTCCCTACATTTCTCTGCTATCCTGAAATAAAGCTGAAAATCAGCAAAGCACAGGTTTCTTGCTCCCAGTAATGCAGTAGAGTTCATTAAAAGATGTTTTCTCAAGATGAATAACTCTCACCAGACTCCAAATGTTGTCCACTGTGTTGTTTATCATATTTTTGGGGCAAGATGTGTATTGCTGAATGATAAAAAATACATATATTTAAGTTCTAATTATATAATCATATTTTTAAGGTTTATGTTTGTTGTTACTCCAGTTGTTGGTGATCATCATACTTACAGTTAAAAAGGTATGAACCATGTTTCAGGAATGTTACAATCAGAGGGTGTCATTTTACCCCCATCCAAGCAGATAGGTTACGGCTTTAGAGCATTTTGTTTTAAGCTTTATTCTTCCGAAGGTCATGTAGATATACATGTGTTTTCAATGCTCTGATTAAAGACGAAGAGATCTCTCCAGCGATTAAGTCTCCCACAGAAGAATTCCCCAAGATTAGAGAAAGATTTCTATAGAACATTTCAGGAATTAATAAGTACCTCATTGCTTGATGCTTAAAGTGATGCCTTCCATGCTGCTATACCACCTCAGTCAGTGTACTTTGCACTTTTACGTTTATTCATAAAGTGGGATAAGATGCTTTAGATCCAAGTGGCTGTCAGCTTATCTTTTGCTTAATTACTGTTACAGTAAAAATAATTCCCACAGGCAAATGTGGTTTAAACCTAAATCATTACGGACCTGACAACATTAGTTGGTTGATTAGCCAATGTCCTGCAGCTTTTCCATGCATCTATGCTCCAACACACCTGAAACAAAAGGCCAAATTACATCCTTGGTATGTCAGTAAGTTGAGCAGAGGCTTGGCCATTAACCCTTCATTTGTTTTAGGTGTATTGAAGAAGGGACGCATGGAATAGGGCGTGGGGGGGCAGTGGTGTCGGTGGTAGGATTTTGCACTGAAATCAAAGTTTTGACAGTTCAAGCTCCGGCTTTCAGTGTCGTTGTGTCCTTGAGAAAAGACACTTCACTGGCATTGCCTACTGATGGTGGTCAGAGGGCCCGGTGCCGCCAGTGTACGGCAGCCTTGCTTCTGTCAGTGAGACCCAGGTCAGTTGTGGCTACAATGTAGCTTGCCATCATCAGTGTGTGCTTGAATGGGTGAATGACTTAATGTTGTGTCAAGTCCTCTGATTTGAAAAAAGCTCTATATACTACAGGCCATTTACCATTCCTAAGCTTCAGGAAAGTGGAACTCGAGGACCGATGTTGCCTACCCCTGAATTACACCATGTATTATTCAACATATACTACGATTTCCATATTACTTTATGCTACTTAAGCAAGGCAAGGCAAGTTTGTACATAATAACGGGCATAATAGGAAAACAGAGAGAAACGTATGTTGCAATTACCTGTGCAATAATCCTGTAAATTAAGAGACTTCAGCTGTTATATATAGATATGTGGATGCACTGTATTTACCCCATGCACCTTTTCCTCCTTTTGGCTCCTTCTTTTGACTAATGAGCCAATGTGACAAGTGTATTTCTCCACTGTGAGATCAATAAAGTTTGTCTTATCTCTTATGGTATCTCTTAAGATAATAAAAGAGGGCTTATAACCTTTGATTCAATTAAATATGATTATCCATTGTTAGGGCATTACAATTTCGTCTTTGGTAATAATTTGGTTTGATGGACGACGTCTTTATATGATACACCATCTGTGTTTGTGTGATGACAAATGGTCTTATCGTAGACTTACTGAACCCTTTGCAGATGCAGAGATCCATAAGACAAGGCAACCCGCTCATGTTTGGCATCAGCTTAGAATTTCTAGCACAAAAGTTAAGAAACAGCAAAATTATTCATGGGATTAAATTTTGGGGTTAAACTTTGAGTTGAAAAATATTTTCAACCCAAAACATAATTGATGATTGAAACTGTTATTTTACATCACTTTACAATGAATTAGATTTGATCATGTAAAAATTATTTTTTGCTATCTTCATAGGGTGTTGTTGGTAAAGATTCTCAGTCATGCAGGTCATAGTCATTTCAAGTAAAAAAAAAAACAATCGACTTGACTTTTTTTCCAAGATTGAAGACGTTTTGCTTCCCGTCCAAGGAGCTTTTTCAATTTAAAATGTCAGAATTAGCGTTGAGTT